ATAGACACAATTGTCCTCTACATTCTCTTTAAAACCCAAAATTCTTTATTGTTTGATCAAACTTCAAGTACCACTGTCTTTGAAGCTTGTTTTAATCCATAAATGGATTTCTTTAGACGGCATCATATTCGTTCTTTTCTTCCATGACAAAACCTTTCAATTGTGCCATGTAAACATTTTTCTCCAAGTCTCTGTTGAGAAATGTCGTCTTTACATCCATTTGATGTAATTCTCAATCTTAATGTGCCACTAATGCCATTATGATTCTGAAGGAAACTTTACATGAGACTGGAGAAAAGGTCTCATTGTAATCAATCCCTTCTCTTTGCATATAGCCTGTTGCCACAAGTCGTGCTTTATATTTCTCTATATTCCCTTGAGAGCCAAGTTTTGTTCTGTAGACCCATTTCCAGCCTACTGTTTTGGCTCATTTAGGAATTATTTCCAAGTCCCAAACTTTATTGGCATTCATTGATTTCATTTCATCTTCCATGGCCTTAAGCCACTTTGATGAATGATCACTTCTCATGGCTTCTTCAAATGAGGTGGGATCATCCTCCATTTGAAATTTCTCAGTGTTGTACACTTCATAATCAACAGGAATAGCTGATTTTCTAACTCTTTGAGACCTTCTAGGGGCCTCCACTTTTGGCACCTCTTCTGTTTGAGGCTGTTGTAGCTCCCCCTCATGTGTGGCAATAGGTTCTATAGAATCATGAAGAACAGGTTCCTCATTTTCATTCATTGTTGCCACAGGTGAAATAACAACAGGTGCTGACACCATAGTATCTTACACTGTCGGTGCAGCGACAGCATGTAGTGAGAAAATTGGCTCATGAATCATTAGAGTGGGCGCATACACCCGCTTCACTTCAAGGTCAATTTCTTAGTAGCTACCATGCTCCCCTTCATCTTTTCATCCTCTAGGAAAACAGCGTGTCTCGTTTCCACAAACTTTGTGTGTCTCTCTGGACAGTAGAAACGAAAACCTTTTGACTTTTCTATGTAGCCAAACAAATGGCAACTTACTGTTTTGGGATATAACTTCCCAATGTTTAGGTTAAATACTTTAGCCTCAGCAGGGCTCCCCCCACACACGCAAGTGATTTAGTGAGGGTACTCTTTCTGTCCACAACTCAAACGGTGTTTTGGGCACCGACTTTCTTGATACTCTATTGAGAATATGAATTGCGGTTTTTAACGCCTCCATCCACAGGCTTAACTGTAAGGTGGAGTAATTTATCATACTGCCCACCATATCCATCAGGGTACGATTGATTCTTTTAGCTACTCTATTCTGCTGAGGTTCGCTCGGTGTAGAATATTGGGCTACTATGCCATTCTTTTAGGGTATGCCGACCGTAGTACTCCCCACGGTCAGACCTGACTATCTTAATCTTTAATATCTTAAATTTATCCAATACATCTTTTCTTTCTTTGATTGGATAAATATAGCCATAATGGGAGTAATCATCTGTGAATGTCATGAACGAATCATAACCATCCACACTCCTTACAGGAAAGCTGACCACAAATGTCTGTGTGAATAATCTGTAAAATTCCCGTGCTTCGTTTGTCATCTTTCTTTACATACTTTTCCTTTTATGCATTCTCTGCATTGTTCTTAATCTGAGAGCTCTAATGGAGGAAGAATATCATTCTTAACTAGTCTTTCCATTCTCCCCCTCAAAATATGGCCTAAACAATAGTTCCATAATTTCAACGACGCATCGTGAGCTCTCTTATGCCACCATTATCAGAGTGACTATCTGTCACCAGCTGCTTTATCAGCTAGATAGCACATATCTTTGAAGAGCCAGTGAACTGACTCTTTATTCTATCGAGGTACTCGGTGACCATGTCACACTCTAGGATTGAGCCCACAATTGCAGGCTCAATCGTGTTCCTTATCATAGCAAAACATTTCTTGTTTGCAGTGATCCACTTCCTATGCTCAAAAATCATAGGATATCTTTTGGGATTCAAAATCCCTTTCTTTAGTTGCCCAAGTGGCATCATTCTCTTTTGTCTCCCTCATCGATGCCACAATCTCAGTGGAACACGGTGAGGTGACTACCCAGTCCACCTTAGACAAGATGAAAACCAGGTCAAAACTTTTCTTAACATAAAAATAACACCATTTACATGCCTTGATTCCAACATTGGTCAAAATCAAAACATACAATTATTCTTATACGCTAATTCTACATCACCGTTGGGCAGAAATAGAATTAATGCATAAATCTTTAACTTTCACAACTGTTCTTACACACTAATTCTACATCACCGTTGGGCAGAAGTAGAATTAATGCATAAATCATTAACTTTTATAACTGTTCTCATGCACTAATTCTACATCACCATTGGGCAGAAATAGAATTAATGCATAAATCATTGAAATTATCAACTTTTCTTATACACTAATTCTACATCACCGTTGGGCAGAAGTAGAATTAATACATAAATCATTAAATTTATGATATTGTTATTAACAACGTTGGTCAGAAAATAACATCATAACCATGTCAAATCTCTTTTTCTCCAATTAAATACCACATTGGTTCAAAATAACTGGAGAATCAACATTTTCTTTGGCAGTAGAAAAAATCTCTTTTTCTCCAATTAAATACCACATTGGTTCAAATTAACTGGAGAATAAACAATTTCTTTAGCAGCGAAAAAACTTTCACTCAATTTCTTGAATTTTACCCACAGGGAAAAATTACTTTTCTATTTTTCTTTTGAGCCAATTTGCATTTTCAATTTTCCAGGAAATAAACATTTACTGAAAAGGGAAAAGCATGAAAAATTCATTATCTATTTTTCAGAAGCTTTTCTGGTTTGTATCTATTTTCTGGAAAAATAACACGTTGGTGTAATTTTACCAGAAATTTTAAACCATTGGAATTCATTCAAGTCTGCTTCTGAAATTAAATAAAACCTTTCTATATTGTTCTATTCATTTTTGGCCCAGCCTGTAGCAACAGTGCATAGCCTATCAGCTACAGTGCACAGCCCCGGCCTGCTAAACAGCCTGGCCCAGCTCTATGCACGACGCCCGGCCGCACCTAGGCCACAACCTGGGCCTGGGCCGGCAAAGTGCCGCGCGGTGCGCTCGCCCGCCTGGGCCGCTCGCTGGCCCATGCATCCGGCGCCGTTGGATCTCATCCAACGGCCGTCCGATCGTTTCGGCCGAACAAAAAGTCTTCACCGGTCGCGGTCCCGAACCCTAGTTTCATTTGCTCCTTTCTGATTCTCTCTCTTCTTCGCCGCTCTCTCCTCTCTCTACCTCAGCGCAGCCACAGCGAGACACTGAGAGCGAGCGAAGATGGAGGAGTGACCATGGCGCCGTCGCCGGCCCCCTCGCCGGCGCGCGTGCTCCCCAACGGGTGAGCACGCCGCCGTCGAGCGGCCTGGCCGCGGCGCCCCCTTGGCCGAGCCCGGCGAGCCAGCTCCCCCAGCTCGGCTTCTTTTCCCGCGCTGGCGAAGGGACATGTCGACGCCCGACGAGGTCGATCCACCCCTTCCCTTTTCAGATTTGTACTGTTCTTCTTCCTTTTCTTTTCGAGTTCATCCGAATGGGAAACTAGGGTTAGGGTTAGGGTTCCAACCCTTCTTTTTCTCTTCTTCCCCAATCAGATCTAGATCTTGTTTGCTTTTCTTCGTTTGACCGATTGGGGTTAGGGTTCGTGTGCCGACCCCTATTCTTTGTTCTTTTTCTTTTCGCTTGAATTTCCTTTCTTTTCTTTTCCCTCGTTTACCCGAAAAGGGGATCTAGGGTTAGGGTTCGGTTGAACCCGATTCAAGAACTGGGCTCAGAGAACAGATTATCCCCTTCCCCTTTTTGGGTTAAGGGTTAGAGTTCTTGAGATTTCTTCTCTGTTCAGATCCGAAAGGACCCGGTCTTTCTTTCTTTCTTCTTTTACCCGGTTAGGGTTAGGGTTACACAGAGGCAACCTAGCTCCGATACAATTGTTAGGATCGATGAATGTACCTCTCTGTGTAACCCTTAGATCCGGGTAGTCCTCTTCTTTAGGGCTTCTCCACTCGCCCTGGGACAGTAGCACCGCAGCGGGTAGACGCCGCTGTAACGGTGTAGATGACGTCCAGCGCGGTGGAGAGACGGCGGTCCGGTGGTGACCCTGCAGTGGGGCGACGACGGTGGTGGCGGGCTCATCCCGTCGCTGGCAGCATGCTTTAGGATCGGATTAGGATTTTCTCTGTAGGTGGGTGGTGGCTCCGTTCAACCTCATGAAACGAGCCCCGATCCCCACCTTCTCTATTTGTATGTGCTGTGCGACAGGGGCTCACCAACCAGTTAAGGTTGGGCACCCCCGATCAGGACGCAGAGGCAAGGGCTCAATAGGCCGTTGGGCCTATTGGTGGATATCAACTGACAGGATTCTCATACTTAGATCCCTTTTGGATTTCCACGGCAACAGACACTCGCTTGCTGCGAACAAAACGGAAAAAATTACAAAAATAACACTCGAAAGATTGACTCCTTGATTATGATGACACTCGGGTGGATGATAAGTGGGTCCATCTGTGTCTATGAATATGGGTTCAGTGTCGAATCTGCAAACGGCCGATGTTTTGAGTCCCACGCCGAAGGATTTCAGTTTTGGTGGATGAGTATCCATTCACCGCCATGATGTACGACGGCACCTGTGCCGAAGGTACGATGGTGCTGTTTGTCTATTATCTCTCCACATGATCATCATATATGACGCCGATTAGTACCCTTCGGCATTTGGAATGTAACCAATTTGATTTTTTTATTAGCCTGGTGTCTGTTGTTTTGATCTCGGTTTTCGTGCAGCTACTGCTTGACTTTTGTTTGCCGTGCAAATGCATTTTTTTTTTCTGGCTCTCAAACGCCTCTATCTCAGCACCATATGTATACACCGGCATGTTTATATCGATTTATGCTTTGAGTTACCTGGTGGATCTGATTGCACTACGGCATTCACCTATTCCATCCTTTTTCCTTTAGGGAGATGGATGACGCGCCACTACCTTCTCCCCCTCATAGGACGCCTCTGTACGAAGTGGCAAAACTGCAACCATATGCACCCCTTGATAATGAAACAGCATGCCCTGCTCTCAAGGAAGAACAACAAGTCGAAGGGGATTTTAATTTTTCCAATCCCAATCGTGCATGGAGATCTCAACCTCATTTTCTATCCCGTTTTCTTCACACACTGGCACCTACACCTCGATCTGATAAGGCCTCACCTTTGGGCAGCCGAGTGGTGTCAGGTGATTTTGGATGGACAAATTTTGAGATAGAGCACATCCCAATGCCTAATGGTTATCATGAATGGGCTGCCAGGGTTTTAACTAATCATTCATCTCATCTCAAGGGAAGCGAACCGGGCAAGGATTATATTTATGGGGCAATCTTCTGTTCCTTAGGAAAATACCCTATGTCCCCCTCCGTGGTAAGAGCCCTACTGGAGAGGTGGGATTCGATTGCGAACACCTTCGTATTTCCTTGCGGAGAGTGTACAATCACCCTCTTAGATATGAAGAACATGGACGGTTTACCACTGGATGGGGAACCTTATGACGAATTCATTCCATCTCGTGCTCACATGGAGCCAGCTATGCTGTTGTATCAAAAGACTTTACTGCCTCTCTACAGGGCATGGCGCAAACTTGAGGACAAAGGAAAAGTTACTTTCCAAAAGTGGTGCGATTACTTTCATTGCACCCCAGGAAACCTTTCGGGTTTTGATAGCAGTGAGTTCTCCAATGTCTATACCGCTGCATTCCTAACACTCTGGATATGCTGCTTCGAGATTATTGGAGGGGGGCCATATATTCGACCAGGTGTACTAGTGACAGCCTCATGGATGACTCTGGGCTCCCAATTTGCTTTGGCACAACCCGCTTTGTGTTCTTTGTATTACTCTTTAAGGCTTATTTGCACCAAGCCTATTAATCCTGCATCTTTGAGGAGGCTTTGGCCTGTCCACTATCTGATTGGCTGGATAGGGGACTACATACCGGCGGTATTTGGTAACAAAATGAAGCATATCAATATCCCTGTTTGCCCATATCCTTCAGTGAGGCCAACTATGGTGGATACTATGTCCAGGAAGCCAACTCTTTTCAATCCCAAGAGTGCTCATAAGCTTCTGTGTAGAGATAAGAACATTTTGTGGAATCCCTACGAGCCTCTTGACGAGGACCCAAAAGCTCAACCAAACTCACTTCGAACCAACATAATATTTGATTTATCACTTCGTCGTGGTATGCTCCCATGGAGAATTGCTACATACAAAACGGACTTTTTGCATTTTGGAGCCATACCACCGGGAACGTGCAGCTCGACAGTTTGGGTTGGATCAAGTCGTTCCTCATCTTCCGTTGATTAGTTTGGTAACTGAATCTGACGTTGGGATAGCATATGCTCACTGGCGACATCTTCTACGCCCGATATATGAGGACTCGCATCTCATACCAGATGAGTATCGTGTAGGACGTGCTTCACTGGCTTGGGTTAGATGGTTCAGTGCTTTCATAGAACCGTTTAACTCCCTTTTACATAGCCTGGGTCAAGATAACGTCTATGACCCTATCAGTTTCAAGGCTAGACAATGTGACTATCACATACACCCAGGTCTTGCTCCTCGGAATCTATCCTCTCTTGACTTGACTGTGGTGTAAAGGGTAGCTGAAGAACATCTTCAGGATTATCTTGTATCTATCATGGATAAAGAGACGACCAATAATGATCATTGGAAGAGAGAGCTGCACAACCTTCTGGGTGTACAGATCGACTATCAGGGCCAAACAGCCATGGTATATTTTCCTTCTCCCTTGTCCATCGTATGAACTAGTGCGGTTATAATAAGATTAATTCTATTCTAATGATTGATTTTACTCCTTTCTCATTTTTTTAGGAGCTGGATCACTTTGAAACAAACTCTGATACCGGTTCTTCATCCCAACCTGTGTTACTTGACAACCCATGAATATCCTCTCAAGAGATAATGGGGATCCACCATCCAAGAGAAGGCTTGATTTTACTGATATGGATGAGGGTTGTGGCCCAGCCATTGCACTTGCCCCCAACGTCACTCTCGATGACGAAGATCCCAATCAGTCTAACCATTCTCTCACTAGTACGGAGCATCTGGAAGATGAAGATTATACAGTCATTACAGATTTCGGTATAGTGGATAAGAAAGGCAATTTACAACCTCTTCCTTCTATTGAAAGCTACATTACTACCACGGGGTCAGGTGGGGATTTTTCAATGTCCCCGTATAATATGACTCGTGTTGTTCTTCCTGACATTGACTCAACTGAAATTTCAGCTTTTATCAATGGTATTATTTTGTTTTTTTATTAAATCTGTAGATGTTGTTTGTGCATATAACAGCCATATTCCATTTAAATATTATGAACCTGTTTAATGTCTTCTTTTTTTTAGATTGTGGACAGCAGCTTGACCATCCATCCTCCGGCCAAGCGTTATCTGAGGATACACAAAGCATGGACACGACTGAGATCGAGAAGATTTTCTTGGCAACAGCATATCAGGTGTCACTAAAGGTTCTCAACGGGCTGGATGTTACTACATTGAAAGAGCCGGAGCGATGTGCCGCCCTGCAACTTACTTCATCTAGTCTCCCTGGGAATTTCACTAGCATTTCCAAGATCAAAGCTATGCTGGACAAACTGGTTGCTATTTCCCAACAATTGCAGCTTGCCCACTCTGAATTTGAAGCAAGCTCTGGGCGAGTCGACCAAGCTGTTGGCGAGGTTAAACAAGAGCTTTCAGTTAAGAAAAATGCTCTCCAAGCTACCGCCCAGGAAATGGTTTCAGTTGAAGAGAGGAAAGCTGAGCTTTTAGCAGAGGTTGCCAAGTTTAACCTTGCCTTGAAGGAACTGGAGGAGAAGGAGAAAAAGCTATTGAAACTCAGTCTGCCCAGGAATTAGAAGTGAAGGAGCAAGAACAAGCGCTGTGTGATGCCACTACAAAGGCAAACAAGAGAGCCAATGATGACCTCCTGGCAAAGACGATGGTTCCTATCCAGGAGGCTGAGAAGCTTTTGACTGATTTGAACCAAATCCTCTCCAAAGTCAACTGATGGATCCAGTTAATTCGATCCGCTTTGCCAAGCTTTATGTCAGACTTTGAGTATTTTATTTCCTATAGTTAATTATGAACATTTATTTCTCTCAGTTTATGGGACATGTGTCATGTTTCATTTGGCTTTGCAATTATCAGTGGTTTACTTCCGAACTACTTGTTTAATTCAGATGTGCATCAGAACCTTTATTTGTTTCCAATGCATTGGAAGGGCTCATTGGTCTGTTACGTTTATCCGTCTCTTCTTTTTTATACATAGTTGGTAGACCAATGTCCTGTAACCGTATGCAGTGAAACCCATGGATTGCATGCTGCCCACAAATTAAACTTTGTAACTGGCACTTTAGGCTATCTCATGCTGCAATGTAGTATATATTTTTTCTCTTACAGTTTAGGATCATGCAGGAGCATCTTTCTACTTTCACTCTAAACTCATAAAGCTGCGAAGCATTGTTGTTGTTTTTTATATTCATGCTATAGTTTAAGCTCATGAAGCGATTGAGCATATGTTTTCTTTACAGTTTAGGCTCATGAAGGAGCATTTTTTTGTGTGCTAACAGTTTAGGCTCTTGTAGCAATGGAGCGCTATGAATCTTTTTTTTTTACTTCAGCTTCAGTTTAGGCTCGTGAAGCTATGGAGCGTTGTGATTTCTTTTTCTCGATGCTACAGTTTAAGCTCATGAAGCGATTGAGCATATGTTTTCTTTACAGTTTAGGCTCATGAAGGAGCATTTTTTTTGTGCTAACAGTTTAGGCTCTTATAGCAATGGAGTGTAATATGCATATTTCCCTATGCATAGTAACGCTTTAGAAATTTTCCATTTACTGGCGGTGGGCAATACTTGCCATCTAGAGATATGATTCTATAAGCATCATTAAAGTAGACATCCTTCACAATATAAGGACCTTCCCATTTAGGCTTGAATTTGCCTTGCATTCGATGAGTAATATTCATAGGCCGAATGACCGCTAGAACCAAATCCCCTTCTTTGAACGACCTCCTTACGCGCTTGTCAAAAGCTCTAGACATTCTAGCTTGGTATGCCTCCAAGTTTTGCAATGCACGAAGACGTTTTCCTTTGAGGTTGTCTAGTTCACTTAGGCGTAATTTCGCCGATTCATCTTCATTGAGTTCTTCTTGGATAGCAACTCTTAAGGAGGCAATTTGCACCTCCAGTGGCAGGACCGCCTCTCCTCCATACACAAGTGAGTAAGGAGTCATTTTCGTTGGCGTCCGAGTCGTGGTCCTCTATGCCCACAAGGATTTGAGTAACTTTTCATGCTAGTGTCTCTTATTTTGTTAGACCATCTTTTTAAGCAACTTGCATAACACTTTATTGAATGCTTCTGCTTGACCATTAGCGGCTGGATTATAACCTGTGGAGAAGTGATGCTTAATTTTGAATTTAGCACACATCTTCTCTATTTGTCTATTTTTAAAAGGCGTGCCATTATCAGATATCATTCGGGCTGGAACCCCAAATCAATATATAAGATTCGTTCTTATAAAGTTTTCAACATTTTCCGCTTTGACTTCTTTTAGTGCTACAGCTTCTGCCCACTTAGAGAAGTAATAAGTTGCGGCAAGAATGAATTTGTGTCCCTTAAAAGACGGGGGATTTATTGGCCCAACTACATCCATTCCCCACATTTCAAAGGGCCAAGACATATTAGTCGGATGTAATGGTTCATGGGGCTAATGTATGAAATTACCATGTATTTGGCACTCATGGCATTTCTTTGCAAAGTTCATAGAATCATTAAACATTGTAGGCCAATAATAACCTAAATATCTTAGTCGGTAGTGTAGCTTAGGTCCAGATTGGTGTGCGCCACACACTCCGGAGTGAACTTCATTTAAAGCTTCGTTTACCTCATTGCCTGCAAGACAGCGAAGTAAAATACCATTGCATGAACGCCGATAGAGCGTGTCGTTTATACATGTATAATTCAGTGATCTCTTTCGAATCCTAGACGTTTCACTAGAATCTATAGTAATGGCTGAAGTAGATGGTACGTCCTCTTCCTCAGTAAGTATGGGGAGGACTCTTCGTTCCTCTATGTGAACATTCACAGTTTGATACGGATTTAGTGACATGCTAGCAGCTAAGCTTGCCAATGCATCTGCTTTCTCATTCTGACTTCTTACAACATGCTGAATTTTCAAATCAGCATACATAGCCATTAGTTCTTTTGCTTTCCAAAAATATGGCAAAAGCCCTTGCTTTTTTACCATATATATTCCCAACAATTGGTTAATTATTAATTGGGAGTCTCCGTATACAGAGAGTGTGTTTAAACCCATATTGTGAGCCATTTCAAGCCCAATAATTAGAGTCTCATATTCAACCGCATTATTTGAACCCGCTCAAGTTAATGTGAAGGAATATGGAAGTATTACTTCATCCGGTGTGACAAACACGACCCCTATGCCTGCTCCTGATTTCTGGCAAGCACCATCAAAATACATTTGCCATGTAGGATTGGACAACGTAGTGGTGAAGACTACCTCATCTAGTAGATCATCATCAATGGGAAAGTCATCAAGTATGGGATGTGCAGCTAGAAAATTAGCCAAAGCTTGACCTTTAATGGCTTTGTGAGGCATGAACACAATATCAAATTGTGAAAGGAACATCGCCCACTTAGCTAATCTACCAGATAATGTCATTTTATTTAAAATATGTCGGAGTGGATCAGCTCTCAAGACAAGATGCATTGTATGTTCTAGCATGTAGTGGTGAAGCTTTTGTGCTGCAAATACAAGTGTCAGGCATATTTTTTCTATATCCAGGTAATTGCACTCTGCCCCCTGTAGGGTGCGGCTTAAATAATATAGGGAGACTTCTTTCCCTGCATCATTGGTTTGTGCCAAAAGAGTGCCTAATGAAGTTAGCATGGCTGCCGTATAGAGGATTAATGATCGTCCTTTAATTGGCGTGCCTAAGACAGGAGGATTTGTTAAATATTTTTTATGTCCTCGAATGCATTTTGACATGCTTGATCCCATTGAAACGGGACTCCTTTCTTCATGAGCCGGGAAAAAGGTTTGCACCTCTCGGACAGGTTTGAAATGAACCTTCTAATGTACGCTAAATGGCCTTGGAGGCTCTGTAATTCATGCAAGTTTGTTGGTCGAGGCATGTCGACAATTGTCTTTATTTTAGTAGGGTCAATTTCAATGCCACGCTTGGTGACTATGAAACCAAGGAATTTTCTCGAAGATACTACGAAGGCGCACTTCATAGGATTCATCTTTAATTTATGTTTTCTAAGGCGGTCAAAAACCATTTCCAAGTGTTTTAAGTGATCTTTCTCGCACTTAGATTTTACAACAATATCATCTATATAGCACTCAATGATTTCGTACAACAACCCATCCAGGACAATGGTCATTGCACGTTGATACGTGGCACCTACATTTTTTAATCCAAAGGGCATCACTTTATAACAATATATGCCCTTGGGTGTACAGAATGCTGTTAACTCCTCATCTTCCGGCGACATTTTTATTTGGTTGTAACCAGAGAAACCATCCATGAAGGAGAATATTTCATATCCCATAGTGGCATCAATAAGGATTTCAGAGATTGGAATTAGAAATTCATCTTTTGGACAGGCTTTATTTAAATCTCTAAAATCCGCACATACACGGATCTGCCCATTTTCTTTTTCGTGGGCACGATACTAGACACCCATTTGGGGTATTTCACTTCTCGGATAAACCCAGCAGCTATGAGTTTATCAACTTCAGCTTCTATTTGTGGGAGAAGTTCTGGATGATATCTTCTTTGTCCTTGCTTCACCGGAGGAACATCTTTTCGAACGGCCAATTTATGCACAGCAACTATTGGGTCTAGACCTGGCATTTCTTCATGAGGCCAAGCAAAGACATCTCTATTTGCAGAAAGAAATTTATGGATTCTTCCTTACTTTCTTTAGATAGATGTTTACTAATAAAGATTGGCCGGGGATCATCATCCGTGCCGATATTAATTTCTTCCAACTCATGAACAGTTGGTTGATTTCCATCTTCCATTTGTGGAGATGCTTCCATAGCATCAAGAGGTTCGGCAGAGGTCATATTAACTTCATAGCCTAACCCATATTTCTCTTCTTTTAATGCTTGATCTTGGTGTAGGGTTTCAAGCTGAGCCTGGGACATCAACTTTTCAAATGGTGCGAGCTGCCCCCAGGCATCGCATAAAGAAGGACCGGTAGAAATATCATAGCCCATCTATTGCATAATATAAAAGAACTTTATTGTCATATAAAGAGATGGGTAATGTTTTATCATCTTTATTTAACAAAGTGACCTGCGTAACCAATTTACTCTTATTATCCCTTTTAATTTGGGCTTGTTTTATTTTATATTGCACCAAAGGAGGTAAAGGAGTTGTAAATGAAATACCTCTATTTTGAGAGGGTTTACTTATGATGCGAAATATCGGATCGCCTTCCTTCCTTTGATTGCTTGGTATGTATTGGTATATCTTTCGGCTTGATGAAGACTTGACTTCTTCTATCTTTGGGATATTTGGTTCTAACGGCAATGATGATTTTGGTTTCAAGACTTTATCAATAGGCTCAAAATAAAACTTTGCATCAGCATAGAAGGATTCTGCTACAGTGAGTGGCTTTTTATCAGCAAAAATCCTTACTATGCTCCCTGAAGGATCTTTATACTTGATGCATTGATGGAGAGTAGATGGAACAACTCCATTTTCATGCAGCCATGGGTGACCGATAAGAACATTAGATGAGGTAGCCACATCAATCACATGGAAGTATACGTATGTCATAAGATCTTCAAACTTTAGAACCAAGGATATGGTGCCCAATGCTT